TGGGGCTGTGAATTAAAATTGCCTACAAAAAGTATATTAAATTATAACAATAATATCATCAACCCGATGGGGTATTTTATTTGCCAGTCCGGCCAGCTATGGCCCAATGCCTAGATAAGAAAACTTGCTTTCGAGGAGAGACGACTGATAAGGTAATGTCAGGAGAGGCTAACTTTGTTTGAACAACAATCGAAGATGTATCCAAGCGAATTAGGTGACGATGTTAGCACGGAAGGAAGTACCAACAACGAAGGAGCCTCCAATTGAGAAAGGGGACTCTCAAAGCTATACTGAGTTAATATTTCTTCAGGAGCAGCCATATCACTGGATAACTGCTTTAAAATCTTATTCAGTTTTAAAAATTGAACCCTTACAGCGCTATACATTTTAGAAAAGTTGATCTGCTTTTCTAAGCAAAACGACCATCTTACGCCCTTACTAACAATTTTTGCTGTGGACATAATCTTGTCATAATCCCGACCAGTGAGACCTGCACATTTAGTATGCATCAAATTATCGCACAACAAGCAATTTACAAATTGCGCTTGTGCAGAGTCCACTGCCTGCCTGGCAATACAACTTACCGAAATGAAGCAGAAATATAAAAACCAAGAGACTTTATAATATGTTGACAGAGCGAGTCCAACAACAAACAGCCGTTACAGAGCGTAACGAAAGCACACAGCGAGAGAGAATATTTGCACGATGATCAAATATTCTCTCTCGATGCAAAAATCAGTCGACCGCAATTGTGTGAAACTTTAATAAAATTAGTTAATTATGATAACATTCAAATTTATAGAGCAGAAAAACAAAACGTCTGTTCACTCTCACTAAGAACTCTCATGTTTATTTTTTTTTTTTAGCGAGAATAATCAATTTGATTTCATTTTTTAAGGCTAATTTAAAAACTGTAAACCCAGAGATCTCAGATTTACTGTTTAGATGCATTTGACGAAAGCTAAGAATTTATAATTGACATATTTTGGATACCCCGCCCCCTTCGCCACCAATTTGAAAAAAAAAGTATTTCTAGTTCTAGAGATTTGTGTTTTGGCAAATACACACACAATCCAAGCGCAGTCGCTGCTAACTGCGTATGAATGCATACGCACATATATATGTGTCCATAAAACAATCGTAAAATGATTTGACCATCTGTTCCTTACAAGTCTCAGGGGATCCCCTAGTCGAGCAGTCTCGACTCTTACTTGTTTATATTTGAAGTTCCAAGTTTCTAGTATTTCTGGTTAAATCTTTGCCTTCATACGGACAGACAGACATTCAGGCTAACATAGATAACACAAAAATATTGCTTGACTTTTAAATTTTCAGATAATTTGCGAAATGGAAGATTTCATCAGCACCTGCGTGACACGTTTGCTCCATTGGTGGTGAGATATGTAGATCTCATGGAATCCTCGATAGCTCAATCGATACACAAGGGCTTCGAGAAAGAACGCTGGGAAAGCAAAGGGTAAGTGATATTCCCATTTGACTTAATATAACTTCATCTAAAATCCCCATTATCAAGTTGACCCTTTACATAATAGGCAGTTCCGATAGATTCATTTGTATACACTTATGTATTTAGATATATATAGTATTTAAATGTCTTTTTTTTAATGTTATGTGTCCAAGGAAACTATGCCATCTATAAATTCTGGATTATTTTTAGGAAAAAGTACAAAAAAAGAAAAAAATTAAATTAAAATATGGTCTTTAATAATAATGAAAATGCAAAATTTCATTGGAAATTTTGTTCGAAAATACGTTTGCTGAGCCAATAAATCCAATTGGATTCCTAAGTATATAAATATGAACTGGGTTATGTTATTAACAGAATGCTGTTAATAACATAACATTGTGTGGTGCGAGAGGAGCAATTCTTGTTAATGAGATCTGGCATTAACAATAACATATATACATACATATATAT